TAATAGTTCCAAAATCGACTGTGAAAGTTATTACGATTAGTCAACTTACTTGTTGGTAAATAAATCATGGGCAACGATAATCAGCGGGAAACTGAAACAAATGCTTTCCGACACTCAAACAAAAAATATTACAAATAATTATTCCCAATTGCTCGAAAAGTTACTGATTCGAATGTTAAATTTTTTTTAAACAGCTTATTGTTTATTTGGAAGAGAAAGATGCAACAATTTAGCAACTATGTGGAAGAACTTCAGCAAGTGGTATTATCACAAGAAATGTATACCTCAAAGGATTGCTTAATTATAGAAAATTTGCCCATGCAAGATGACAGATTACTTTTGATAGTTCAAGATTGTGCTTTTTTTAAAAAGGTTTTGCATTAGAAGACTTCGCCCAGTAACTTCAAGTCTTCTCATTTACTTAGGCCCTGGAAAAACTATAATTATCCACCTGCAGTAATTGTGATGTTTTTATTTCATGACAAAAAATGAGAGTTATAACAGAAAATTGTGGCTCGCCCCTGTCAAAAATCCAATAAATCCTAAAATCATATTTGTAAAAGAGCGTCTGCCCCCTGCAGACAGGGAAATTAAACGTTATGCGGATAATATTGGTTTGATAACGAGCTGCTACAACTGCCAGGTGAAGATTTTTAAGAAAGAAAATGAGAAGTTTCAGTCAATTACCGTGAGTTCAATTAAAGCAGTTGAATACTGTAAATAAATTGGTTTCGGAAAGGACACATCACGCTATGCGAAACCTACTGAACCCACTAATATCTCCCAAAATAGTTATGATTATGGAGTTAATGGTGCCTTTTCAAATGCTCGTACAAATTCTAAGCCAGTGAAAACGTACCAGAGTTTCAACGCTGAAAATAACAAAGACGATTTTGAAACACCTTAGGACTTCCCCAGATGATGAAGGCAAACGAATTCTCCGCAATATATGTAAACCAGCAAAGTTCACTAAAACATTAAATTAAGATGAAAATGACAGCGATAACTCACAAAAAAACATAATCTTTTAGGACGCTACAGCATGCAAAACTTTTCTCTTAGTTTGGCTTTTTAAACAGCTAATTATCATTTCCGTGACTAAATTGATAAATGGGTGTTATTCAGGGGAGCAAAAGGAGATTTTCAAAGGATGGCTGCATTATTTTTTTGAACATACAATCGTTGCGATGTCATCATGATCTAGTAAAAAATCATATAGAAAAAATAAACGTGAAACCAATCGTTTTAGCGCTCTGTGAAACCTAGTTGACAGATGACGATCCTCTTGATATAGAAAAAGTACCAGGTTACTCAATTTTTGTTTTAAAAAACAGACAAAAGAAAAAAGTTGGAAGTATAGCTTTCTTTGTACGCAATGATTTAAATTTCGAGGAAGTGAAATGAGAAGGCAACAATGCTTCAGCACCAATAAAATTAACAGACAAAATATATCAAACGGATAATTAGTATTGTCTGTTGACCACCATGTCTCAGATTTAATAGTTTCTAAGATGATTTTAAGTTTTTACTAGAACAACATACCAAAAGCTTTTAAAAAAGCTATTGTCGTGGGTGACTTTAACATAGATACGTTGATTGAAAGCAAGCTACAGAGAGATTACAAAAAAACTCATTGAATCAATTGGGCTCCCTGTTAAAAACAACGATGCTACAAGGGTAACATCATCAACTAAAACTTGCATTGATCATTGTTTATCTAGGGATTATATCAAAAAAAAATCATGAATCATCAATCAGTGACCACGACGTGCTTCTTGTTGATACAGGCTTAAATGAGTTGCATCCAACAAACAAAACGTTTACTGACTTCCGGGATTTAAAACAATTTAGAAAAAACTGACAGTTATTTCTAATTTTTGTTTAAACTAATGCAATCGTTAGAGGGAGTTGAATCAATTGGTGATGTTAACTTGAAATTGGCTCAAATTATAAAATGTCTGAAAAATACCTTGAACAATATGCCCCGAAGAAAAAAAAGTCAAAAAATCATGGGTTACAAAAGAAATAAAACAAAATATATCAAAAAAAGATCTTTCGTTCAAAAACTGGGGAAACTCTTCCAACAAAACTTACCACTAGCAGTACAAAAAGAGTAGCGAAGCAAAGTTACCATTATGACTGAAAACGCAAAAGTAAACTATTATGAAACTAAAATTGCTGGTCGTGTTTCATTTAAGGGTCTATTTTACACGTTCCGATTATTATGCGATCGTGAGTCTTCCTATCAGCAATCCAATATCAGTGCAGAATCATTCAATAAATATCTAAATTCTGTTGCAGCCGATCTAGCTGTCAAATTTGAAACTGAAGCATACGTTAGATCTAAAATTGAAAACGTCCTAAAGGAAAACGTTTGCTCAGTTTGGCATACAAATGATGTTGTTAAAGTTATAAAAGATTTTCAAAATAAATCCTCTATTGGTCCTCATGGCATTTCGAAATTAATTGCCAATTATAAATTTTTATATAGCCGATCTTATCAATCTTTCAGTTTTAGAATGATTTTTTCCAGATAAGTTATGAGTTGCAAAAAAAAATTTGTTATATAAGTCAGGCGCGAAATCGGATCGACGGAATTATAGACCGATTAGTCTCTTGAGCTCAAAATCAAAAGTTTTTGAAGAAATTTTTAACAAAAGAATGCTTTCATTTATCAAAAAATATAAGATAATAAACCAAGCTTAGTTTGGATTTCAGCCATAAAAAGTCATGTGTAGATGCTCTTTCAAAATTCTATCGAATTCATGCGCTCTACGATTGAAAATAAAGACTATGGCTCAGCTTGTTTTTTGAATAAAAAAAAGCTTTTCATACACTCAATCATGAGCACCTGCTGGAAAAACTCAAATACTATGGTTTCAGAGGAACGTTTTTTGACATTCTCAAGTCATAACTTTCAAATCGGGAACAATTTGTACAAATGAATGAAACATCATCACAACCACTGAAAATTGAGCATGGCGTACTGCAAGGCTCAGTGCTCGGCACCCTTCTTTTTCGCTTATATATTAATAATTTACCACAAAATTGTTTAAAATGCAGTGTAGTACTATTTGCTGATGACACTACAATTTTTCATTCTCAATAAAATGAAAATGGTGTTTTGCCGCTGAAAATTATAAAACAGTTAATTGGATGAGTCAAAAAAGTCTGAAAGTAAACTACGATGAATGTTTTTTCTTATGAATTTTGGTAAGACCTATTATCACTAAGGTTGCATTTTTCCGGGCAAGTGCTGAAAACTGTTGATCGTTCCAAGTTTTTAGGAAATGAAATAAACTAAAAATTGGGCTACAAAAGTCATTTTGAAAAAATAATCAAAAAAAACTTTCGCACTTCAGTGGAGTCCTTAAAGAATCTAAAAATTACTTCTGACAAAAACAACTACCAATTTTTTTAAAGCACTTTTCCAGTTAAAATTAAATTATGGGATTTTTGTACAGAAGTACGTATAAAACGTACTTAAAAAAAATTTTGAATCTTCAAAAACAGATCGTTAGAGCAAAATCTTTTGAACGAAGTTCTGAGTCATTCGTCGACTTTATGGAAAATCACAAGTTTTTGCACTGTTTTCGATATTTTTTGTGTGAACTATTCCAAATGCTTTTCATGAAATTCGTGGCCTCTCTCAACATAAGTTTCTTAATCTAGAACAGTTTCACAGTGGACGACATACAAGAAAAACTATAAAATACATATTAATTTCTGTATACTGTGGAACCTTTCAAAAATGGAAATCAGATAAATATCAGCCATTTTTAGCTTGTCATTGGCTGATCAAAAACAGTTTTCAATCCTAAAAACTTGTTAGACATGAGTGATAAAGATTTCTCATTTTTTTTCAAACGTTTTCCATGGTTGTACCTACGTAATATTATGTATCTTTTTTCAATTTTCCTTAATCAGTAAGTTCATGTCCCTCACAATTGCTCTCTCACCCTTACCCAGGGTCATTACTCGTTGAGTTGAAATATTCTTCAATGACCTTTCCAGGCAGTTTATAGTTTAATAAAAATTATTTAACTTTTGACTAAAGCTGGTAAATGAATTCAAATTCAAAGATAGTGATGAATATTTAGACCCATGCAACGCTAACACACTATATGATCAAGCTTTTCTAGCTTGCTTTCGTCGCCATCTGGACCGGACGACTCAGATGGTATATATTGGGACTAGATATTTTGCAGCCATTGCGACTCAAGACGGGTATGTTGCAACTTGGCGAGACCGAAGAAGTTTTTCGCGTTTTTGTTTGAACCAAAAAAGCCATGTCGCGACTTTGTACGTCCCCAGAAAGATGTGTTCTAACCTTTGCGGCTCAAAATGGGTTCTTTGAATGTCAGAACCTATTAGCTTAGCCGTTTATATATTTGCCATAGAATTAAAAATTTTGCTAACAAATTCATCATAAATTGAAAATAAATTTGAATGGCAGAACCTATTAGCTTAGCCGTTTATATATTTGCCATAGAATTAATAATTGTGTTAACAAATTTATCATAAATTGAAAATTTTCGAGTAAAGTGATGCAATTTCCAAGTTTTTAGTATAAAATATTGATCTTTTTCAAGTCGACCCAACTGTTTTCCCGGAAAAAGAAAAGGCCAAATTTTCCAAAAAAAGTGTATCAAAATGCATTTTTTGAAATATTTTTTGACTGAACTTCACTCTTTAATGTTATTTAAACCTGTTTTGGGTTGTGCAAAACTGCGCAGAATACATCGGTCGGCCAAAGTGGCACTATTTTTTGGAAAATTTGGCCTTTTCTTTTTCCGGGAAAACAGTTGGGTCGACTTAACAAAGGTCAATATTTATACTAAAAACTTGGAAATTGCATCACTTTACTCGAAAATTTTCAATTTATGATGAATTTGTTAACACAATTATTAATTCTATGGCAAATATATAAACGGCTAAGCTAATAGGTTCTAACATTCAAATCACAATTACGAAATGACCTTCCTTGCAACTAGCTCTGATTGTCACATTTTGAAAGCTAAATATTAATTTGATCGGCTACAAAGTTTTGCTTGAAATTTTTGTGACTTACAGCTATAATCTTAGGTAGCGAGCTTTCGCTGCAAAAACAGAGAATGGTACTTTTTCTAACATGTGTGACTTTTTTTCTAACGGTTACTATGATGGATTCACGTGCTCTCAATTTTGAGGTCGAGAATGAAGACCTAAAAGCTGAATTAAAAGACTCTCTTCTTTCCGAAATCATCGCGGGACATCCGAGCCCGTCGCGGCCCTTCTTTGTTCGAGTTCACACGAATACTCACGACAACAGGCGCTTAACGTGTGGGGGCACTATCATACATCAATATTTTGTGCTCACAGCCGCTCACTGTATTTTAGACGCAGGTACCTTTTTCCATTGATTTAATTCATTGTTCCTGTTATCCATACGGATACAGTAGGTACCGATATGAACTGATATCCATTCGGATATATTAGAACTATGTCTACCTAAGACAGTATATCCATCTTGAGTGCTAACCATATATACTTATGTAAACTGAACTATATAGAAGTCTGATCTAAATTAAGTACCTATTAAACCTAACACCATATTCAATAGTTATTTATGAGTCTCTGTCTCTCTCATGATTTCGAGGTCAGATTCGAATCAGACTTAACTTTCGTAACTGAATTTAAGTTGTTCTCTATCTCTTCGTATTCTATTCTCAGTTAGCGATCAAGCATAGACTTTGACTACATAGATTACACAGTGTATACCTCACCCAACGGTTGAGGGTATAACATGGCGCAGCCAGCACTTACAACAAAAAACCCACTCGGCATTGCCCCATTCTGGCAAAAAGCCTCGGCGGAACCGCCAACAGAGTGGGAGAAGTGGAACCAGCAACTCTACTTAGGAATTGTCGCAAAAGATGGCATAAACCTGCAAAAGTTATTACGAGATCCACCTGCAGTGAGAAAACCGCAAGAACCCGGTTATGAACTCCCTATAGAAGGGGAAACTCAAGCACAAACCAGGGACAGGAACATTCGTAACCAAGAAAAAAAGATACAATGGGACAACCAATGTGCCCAACTGGACAACTTGGGACCCACCGTGGATGGAATACCATGGGAGGAAGCCGACATAAAAGTCAGAAGCTACATTTACCTGAGTCTTGGTAACGAAGGTCAAAGACGCCTAAACCAACACTATCCAGACATAAAGATACAAGAAATATCAACGAGAGCATTCTGGAATCGATTGGAACACCTTTTCATTAAAGACCGTAATGTTACATTTGATAGATACGAGGCCTTCACAAGAAAGCAGAATAAAACAGAAACGCTGGAACAGTTCCAATGCGGGCTCACTGAATTGGTCATAAAAGAAAACTTCAAATGTCCCAATTGCAACAATAACACATTAGAAACAGAGATTATTCGAGATTTATTCACAGCGAATATGACAAATGATGAAGTACAAAAAGATCTACTAGCCGAGACCAAATCCCCAGAGCAAGCGTTTGAATACGCCATACGCAGAGAAAAAGGGTTGGAAAATCAAATCCAAATCCGCAAGCAGGGTTCCACGACTAATCCTTCTCAACAAACGGGTATAAAAACAGAACCAGTTGGGTTCATTCAAAGAAGAGGAGGGGACCCGTACCGTAATAACAGAAGAGGAAACAATAGCGGTCGAGGACAAACACAGCGGGGAAGCTCGCAACGACAAAACAGAGACAGAAAGCAATCTTGTTTTAAGTGCGGTAATCCGTGCGGACCCGGTCACCTCCAACAATGTCCAGCAAAAGACAAGATTTGCAATAAGTGCACAAAAAGAGGACACTACGCACGACTCTGCAACTCTTCCAATGTTAATGCTATCAGCGAAGAAGCAAATCTCGAAGTGAATGTCCAGGACACCGACATAGCAGCGTATCTCGACTATCTCCAGGCAGGGGATGTCGTCCCGGGATGGGAATTCATAAATCCAGATGACAACAGCGTAAATGCGGTACACTACGAAGAAGAAACGGCAGGAAACTTAACAACAAACGACTTAATAGGACACCTTATTCGAGTTAAAATTGGGACAAACAGCATTACCTTCATTGCAGACACAGGATCCCCAACATCGTTTGTAAATAACAAAACAGCGGTCAAATTAGAAAATACGGTGCCACGAACTCGACGTATTCAGCTCAACCAAAATGACGAGGCAAATAGAATGGTCTGCTACAACGGTTACAAAATCCCTGCGTTCGGCAGGCTGATTGCCCCTATAGAATCAGGAGGGTGGACAATCAACACAGCGCCATTCGTGGTGGTTGATGATAAACGAGCAAACATCCTGGGTCGCAATTTTCTCCCGCAACTAGGCATTCACCTTCAACAGGAAAAACCAACTGGTAAGTCAATCAATTACATTACAGATCCAGAACAATCAGACACGGCCATCACAAACTGGGTTAAAACAGCATACCCAGGGTTGTGCACCCGTATCGGCCGATCTAAAAACCATGAAGTTCATACGAAATTTTTACATGACTTCAAGGCACTTCAACAAAAGGGCCGCCGAATCCCGATTCATATTCAGAAAAAAGTTGAACAAGAACTTAAATCTTTAATTGACCAAGGCCATATCGTGAAGCTCGACAGTTGTAGCGACAAACAATTTATTAGTCCAATCGTAATCACGGTAAAGAAAGATCAGTCAATCAAGTTAGCCATGGACTCAAAACAAATCAACAAAGCGATACATAAAAACAAGTATCAGATGCCTAACATCGACGTTCTGCTCGACAATGTGGCACAATCAGCTCAGGAGGGAAATGGCAAACCAGGCACAACATATTTTTCTACCATCGATCTCCGATATGCATATAGCCAATTGAAATTAGATGAAAAAACTAAAACGCAGTGTAACTTTAGTATAATCGGTGGACAAGCGACGGGAACCTATCAGTTCCAAACAGGATTTTACGGGCTCACGGACATGCCCGCAGAATTCCAGAAAGCCATTGACCTAACGTTAAACAACGAAAAAGATACTTTCGCGTTTCTAGATGATATATTAATTATATCTCACGGAACAAAAGAACAACACATGGACAAACTGAAAAAAGTATTAGATAAACTGGATCAGGAAAATATGGCGATTTCTTTAAACAAATGCAAATTCGGCTGTAAAGAGGTCGAATGGCTGGGATTCATAATAAATGAATACGGGACAATACCAATGCACAAGAAAACCGAAGCGATCACTAATCTACAACACCCTAAAACCTTCAAACAACTAAATAGTTTTATGGGTTCGATTCATCATCTAAATAAATTTATAACCAACCTGGCACAATTGTGCACACCATTAAGGCCGCTCTTATCATCTTCTTCTAAATTTCACTATGTTTGGAACCAAGAACATGAAAAGGCATTTCAGACAATCCTGACAGCGGTGCGAAACATCACAGAAAATCGTCACTTTGTGAGCAACTGAGAAACACGGATAGTCTGTGACGCCAGCCGCGAGGGTATAGGAGCTGCTCTCGAACAGGAAACTCCAGACGGATGGGGTACGGTGGCGTACGCGTCCAGATTCCTAAATGCATGTGAAAATAAATATTCAGTAAATGAATTGGAACTCCTAGCTGCGGTATGGGCTATTGATCATTTTAAATATTATCTGTATGGCCGCCGCTTTACACTAATTACTGATCATCAAGCTTTGGTTAGTGCCCTAAATAGCAATAAAAGTAATAAAACTTATCAAAGTCGCCTAACCAGATGGATTGACCGTCTTATTCCATTCGATTTTGACATCAAACACCTTTCCGGCAGTAAAATGGGCTTAATAGACTATATTTCGCGCCATCCGGTAGGAAAACCACAACCTCCCGCATATTGGGATGAACATTTTGTTGTCGCACTCATAGACGATTTCATTTCTTGCCTGGAATTTCAAGACAGCACTATAGCTAATATCGAAATGATTGAAAATCCATACGGATTTCTAAGCACATTACAGCTCGACCGGAACGAAAACTTTAATCGTTCACTTTCGCACACAAAAGAAACACATTTCACTGTTAATGATCATTCTCTCTCAAACAGTCACTCTCCGTCACGATCAAAATTTTCAAATTTCTCTCAATCAAATCGAAACATTTCAAACTATAGTCCGGATAATTCAAACATTTGCCACCAGCCTTCAACAAATCAATTACGTAAAGAAGAAATAGCAAGTAGTCATCAACAACAACAAGTGTATTTTAATTCAACATATATTAACCCAGTCGCTAACAACATGAGCCGCCAATTGCAGACAGGAATGTCATTACCCCCTTTCAAAAGAATCATGAGGAAATGCCACAGCGGTCAACAGACAACTTTATCGTTTCCACCTGCTAAACATACGTCATTCGCTGAAATGCCCGTAGAACCAGGCCAATCCACACTGTCCTTTAGCGATGTTCGTCATCAAGTAATTCCCTCACAAGATAGCTTCACATTCGTCAGGAAATCAGATCAGCTATGCCAAATGGACCCAGAGGAACAAACGGAGTGTCAAGCAATCTCAATGGAGGACGAAGATGTGCCCCTCTTCCGAAAGAATCTCAGAAAGGCACTGGACGTGGATTTCATTGCGGCCGCCACAAAACGCGACAGAAACCTCCAGCCTCTGATCAACATGATCAGAAACCAAAAGTGGGAACAAATAAAAGCCTGTTACGGCCCTTATTTTTATAACGTGCGCGACCGTTTGTCAGTCCGAGACAATGTGCTACTCTATGACGACAGAGTAGTAATCCCGAAACAACTTAGACAGATTGTATTGGACTCAATTCACTTAACCCACCCAGGACAAGGCAGTATGTTAGAAGCTGCCAAACATATTTGGTATCCATACCTCCACCGGGACATAGTGACGGCAGCACAGAATTGCAAGGAGTGCCGCACCAAAGGTAAGAACCTTCGGGTGATCTCCGGGAAAAAACACTATACTAGTCTTGACGCCGTAGTAGAACCGAACGAGGAAATCCAGCTGGATTTTGCTGGACCGCTACCGGATGAGAACGATAAAGACGTGTACATTCTGGTCGGGGTAGATAGGTTCTCGCGATTCCCATACGCAGAAGTAGTAGCGAATAACAAAGCAGACACAATCATAAGATTTATGCAAACACATTTGGTCAACCAAGGGGTACCAAGAAATATCCGGTGCGACCAAGCTCAAGGGTTTCGGGCTAAGAAATTTATGATCTACTGCAAAAGCAATAACATTAAATTAATATTTGCTCCAGTGGATGACCATCGCTCCATGGGCATGGTGGAAAGACTAATTAGAACTCTGAAAACTCGTCTCTCTATAATGAAGATAGATAAGAATAACACACCATACAAACTAGCGTCAGATGTGGCGGAATTAATCAAAACACTGCGCATTACCCCACACGCCACAACAAAAATTACACCGTTTGAGGCGCACTATGGGCGTAAACCAAACACACCATTAACTAATATTTGCACTACACCTAAAATTTCTAATCTATCATGGGAAAATACAAAACTTTCGTGCCTAGATGAGAAGATGCTTACAAAATCCGCTCTCACGCCTGAGGCCATCTGGAATAGGGATCTCAATAGCGAGGATGAGCTCAGTGTTGTGTACAAACAGACATATCTTCCTGAACCCTCTTACGAACCAGCAGGACCATCGTCACAGGTGGTAGGAACCAGGACCCCAGGACACACAATCCCTAAACGGGCCATCCCTGAGACAACGAAAGAGCAAACGAAACAAACGCAACGGAAACAACCCTTACTGTCGGACACAGACGACGATGAACTGTTCGACCAGGCCCTGCTACGTAAATTCCCAATAGGTGCGCACCTTCCACTTAATAATATACCCTATGATTTACAAAAGGTTAAACGGTCGTTTCTCGCCGAAAACCCCAAAAATGACATAGCAAATATTAGAACACGAAAACCAATTCGGTGGCTTACACAACAAGAAAAACAAAGAATCGAAAGAGCTCCCTTGGTGTTCCTAAAAGATCGGTTTAAAGGACCCCAAAACACCATAGATCCGGTGTTAGGAAAACGCATTGAACAGGTAGCGCGAAAATCGGGCACCATAGCACGCAAAACAAAAAATCCTGGGGTGTTTGGGCCACAATTCAAAATCATCGAAAACGGGTCAATCATTAATTATTCCCCACACACTGCATGGGTCCGGGAAGACGGAAAGCAACCAAGGGTCATAAGACACGACGGTCTAGCTTTTGTACCTGATCCACGGGTGTATGGAAAGTGTCGACCGGCACAATTAAAGGATTTCGTAGCGTATAAACACTTACCAAGAGCAAAATCCCGTATTTTAGACACAGAACCCAAACAGTGTGAACCAACTGGCTCGAAAAACCCGAAGAAGAAAATACAACAAGGAAACCCGGCGGGTAACACCTCAACGCCAACAAGCCCAAAACGAAAACCGCCCAAAAATGTCGAAGAACTTATTCGACAAACGACCAACAGAAGGAAATTAGGACATGATCGGATTCACAGAACGAACCCCACAACCTCAAAAGCCCCCACGAGGAAAATCCAGACAGCGATAATTAGAAACTTAAAATCACCGAGCCGAAAAGGACAAGGTAGTCCAAATAAAACGCGCAAGGAGGAAAACAAGACCGTCGAATTTGACTGCGATACATCAATCTCCATCTCATCCGACGACTCAATCATTCAAGACTTGAGACCAGCAACACACATGCCACCAGCCAAAAAACTAGATCGAAAAAATACGCCACCCCAAGACACAAATGAGAGTACCAAATCAAAGGATACAGTTCCATGCCGTCGATCCACAAGAACTAAAACAAGCGCCCTGGCCCTAAAATTCGGAAATGCAATCCCGATCAACAAAATTGCCGGAAGTAATTCCGACACTGAAGTATGTCTCATGACGGTGCAACAGGATAAAAGAGAACCAACTGGCCAAATTGTCACTGTTCACGAATCCTCAACTGATATAGAGTGCATAGAAATTGATTCAAGGGACAAAGCATCAAGCCAATCCTCTGAGAAAACACCCGAGCAGCTGAGAGTTACAGCATCTGGCGAGGGAACAGGCGGCCCACTCGAAGCGGAGTACGAGCCTACCAATACAGTGAAAACACCGACCCAGTTATCCACACATACGCCGTCCCCACGGAGTAGTCCAAGAGCAGAATTAGATACGTCATCTACGTCAATTGGCCTAAATGACCCACAACAACGACCGATAAGCTCACGTTACGTCATTGGCAGACCTAACGAAACGACATGCTCACCGGACAAATCCTTCATCGAAAACTTCAATGATGCAATGAAAATTCTGCAGTCCATCTCTCCGCCCAAAAATTCAATGACCTTTCAACGGGAATACGAGATACAAGAACTATCTAAACGCCCAAGTAAACAGGACAACTATAACAAGCCAGGCACTCCACAGACATCATCGGAACGAAACGCTCAACAGATATCTCAAGTACCTTTGATTGAAAACGACCCCAAATCACAAAATGACGCTGCGGACGATATAAAGAATATATGAGATGTATTCTTCATATAAGAAAAAGGGGAATGTTATCCATACGGATACAGTAGGTACCGATATGAACTGATATCCATTCGGATATATTAGAACTATGTCTACCTAAGACAGTATATCCATCTTGAGTGCTAACCATATATACTTATGTAAACTGAACTATATAGAAGTCTGATCTAAATTAAGTACCTATTAAACCTAACACCATATTCAATAGTTATATATGAGTCTCTGTCTCTCTCATGATTTCGAGGTCAGATTCGAATCAGACTTAACTTTCGTAACTGAATTTAAGTTGTTCTCTATCTCTTCGTATTCTATTCTCAGTTAGCGATCAAGCATAGACTTTGACTACATAGATTACACAGTGTATACCTCACGCAACGGTTGAGAGTATAACAGTTCCGACCATTGAAAATGGGGACGAACTTTGTAATCGGGTGCGTTTTAGATTTTTTTCTTTTATTTTTTTTCACGCAAAATTAGGTACAACTAATAATCATCGGACTGGGTTGAGTGATATATCATATTACAAACTTTTCATTCGTAAAATTTTTGAAATTCGTAATTAAAATATTTTGAAAAAAATTTCGGCGTCGAGAAAAACCAGTTTGAAGTTTTTGACTTTTGGTCTAATTTCAAGCTAATAAGAAGAAGCTAAGCAGGCTTACAAAAGCTTATTTATGTTTAATTTAAGGCATGAAAACTTAGTTTTACTAGATTAAGCTAGTTTTTGCGGCAATTTGGGAATCAAAAATTAAGACGGTCGAACAAAGCGGCTTAGGTCAAGCAGTTAAGTCAAGTTATGGGTCAAAAAGGATCGAATCATGGGTCAAACCGGGTCAAATCATAGATCGAGCGGGTTCGAATGATGGATCGAACGGAGTCGAATCATGGGTCGAACACCCCGAGAACTTAATATTGTTTTTTAACCCGACGAAACTGTTATTATAGAAAACCACCGCCAACTAGAATCGCTGTTGTGTGCGGCCACCCCCCACCCATATTTATACTAAAATGCCACCGTAGTGTCAACCAGCACAACCAGTCTAGAAAAGCTTGAGTTCAACCTTATTTAGTCTTTTTACGGTAGCTAGTTTTTCTATTCTGGTTTTAGCACAGTGTCGAAAATGCGTTAATTTGCCACCATTCCGATAAAACTTTTACGTAATTTGTCTCATTTGGGTGAACAAGTGATGATGATTTTTCAGTTTCAGCTTGACTTGTATTTTTAGCTAATAGTTACGTGGAGGAGGGTGACTTTGCATCAGGGATCTTCAAAGCTGCCCACAAATTTCACTCCGTCTCCAAATTCTACATTCACGAACGGTAAATTTCATCAAATTTGATAGGAAACTTTTTGTAAAACAGGGTCAGCTGATGTTAGAGAAAGGCTCCTCGCCCTATTTAAATTGTTTGCAAACTGCCTTTTCGAGTTGTTCTTTCAAAAAAATTTAACTGCAATTTTTGGTAAAATTAGGGTCTTTATAGTGTTCTGCGAGCGCTCCGAAAAAAATCGATTTGGTCGACCAAAAAAACTACCTAAAAATCCGCGTATGGGTCGACCAAAAAAACTACCTAAAAAACAAAACCACGATTATATTGTCATAATATGGTCAGCATCTATAAAATGACAAATTAATTGATTATAATCCGTTAAAAATGGATTATAATCCTAATATTTTTTATCCCAATAAAATCCATTATAATCGATTATAATCGATTATAATGGATTTTTTCGAGGGGTTATTCAGGAAACTTACAATTTTGTTCAAAATTATCTCATTTCCTGTTTAGTGTAGTTGCTACGTGTTATGTTTCGTGAAATGTTACATTTAAGAAAATAATTTATACGTTTTTTGTCTCTACTTTTTCTAATTCATCGCAGTTTAACGCTTCATTTTACCCCACCCCCCCCCCCCCCCCCTCAGCCAGTTAAGCCCCCAGTACCCAGTATACTACCACCCACCAGTTTACTATCCCCCCTCCCCAGTTTACCCCCCTCCCAACATTTACACCCCCTCCTCCAGTTTACCCTGCCCCTTTAGCTGGGGGGGGGGGGTTAGAAAGCTTGAGGGGGCGAGGGGAGGGGATGACCAGTTTAACCCCCCACTCCCAGATTTATTTTAACCCCCTCCCGGTTTACTTCCCCATCCCCCCAGTTTATACCCCCCAGTTTACACCCCTCCCCCCAGTTTAACGTGCCCCTTTAGTTGGGGGGGGGGAAGCTTGAGGGGCGAGGGGACGAAGTTGAGACATGGCATTCAGTAAAAGACAGGGCATAAAATCTGCAAACTTCTCGCAAAATTTATAAAATTTTGCAAAAATAATCGAATTTAGTTCTAAAAATGAAAGAGATTATAATCAATTATAATGGCTTATAATGGATTTTATTTCAAAATAATCGATTATAATGGTTTATCTTGGCAAAAATAATCGATTTCAGTGGCAAAAATAATGGATTATAATAGATTATAATGGATTATAATGGATTATACTTGTTCAAAAATAATCGATTATAATGGCTATATAATCGATTTCGTGGTCTGAATTTTACATCCGTAATGGATTATAATCGATTATTTTTGTCTCGGGAATCCATTATAATCGATTAGAATCCATGGGCGCTCGGTGCGGGTATTACATAGGTTTTGATATAACAATCGAACGATTTCCGAAAAAGGAAAACAATTTGTTTTTTTTTGCAAATTGTCCCCAACATGCTACAGTTAAAGTGTACAAAGTGACATTATTCACAATCAGTAACATATCAAACAGACAAACCGGCATGCTTCGACTAATTTGGGAATGATTCATGATCCGAGTTAGTTTACCGCTTACGCGTAAAGGATTGAAACGTATGGAATGGTATTTGGCCAAAATTAGACAATTTAGGCGCTTAACTTCAACGAAAAATGATCAATAACAAGGAATCATTACCAGGCCAAACTGCGCATTTGTGAAATGTAAGCGGATTCCGGAACATGGACGCTCAATTTGTTTTTCTTTTGTTCTTTCATTTTCTTTGACTGTTCCGACAAAATTTTAAATATTTTGAAAGTTCTAGGGCTTGTCTCTGAAATCCAGGAACAAAGAGACACAAAATTGGGTGCCTATCCAATGCACAGTTTGGCTTGGTAAGGATACTTTTTTGAATGGCGAAACAATTATTCGCAAAATTTAAAACCCAATAAAAACCTAATGTGCAGGTGCCACCCTCTTACATTTGCTACATTTTTTAAAAGACTTACTTTATTTAGCTATGACAGAAGGAGAGTTCAAAATGACATTGCTGTCGCACAAACCGGAGCGTTTTTTCCGCAGGAAAAAGTCATCCCTCTTTGTGACAAATCGGCAAAACTTCGGACATTACTCGGAACCTGTGGGCTTGGCCGAATCTCAATTGAAGGCTACAGAGATCCGGAAACACTTATGGAAACGTATTTCAACGAAAACTTCTGGTGGCGTTTTGTACGCTGGTTCCTCCGAAAACCAGATATTTTGCAGGCAAAACGGATCCTCGGTGACAATGCCATATGTAATGGAGATAGCGGATCACCCTTGTATGTTTTGAATGGATTGTATAGGGAGCCGCAATGTGTTTATGGAGTGACTAGTTACTTCACAGGCTTCAAGGGCCAACCTGATTGCCAAGGAAGGAGCTTTTTTGCCAATGTTGTGTTTTTTCGAAAGTGGATAGAAACTATAGTTTCTCAAAACTCCGATGAATGATTTTGTCAATGACAAATTTTTGATCAGGACAGTTATAAACCCATTTTTTTAATCAAATGCTCAAAGTTAAGACGTTTGGAAAACCTCGAAATATCCGACTGCCATTTAAGGTCTATGATTTTTTTTCATTAGAAAATTTAAAAAACACTCGATAAAAAAACATAAAAAGTTTAAATTTTGCGTTTTATTTTTTTTTCAAATCTTCTACCCACACATGGCTAAAAAACAATAACAAATAGATCCAAAAAGCTTTAGTTTGTTTGGAGTGAGTTTTGAGTTTATAGGAGGAAATATATGACCCGTTAGTTCTCCCAAAATGGTCAAACTGACCATTCTCATAGTCCTCTTTTTTTAGGGAAGACAATTCAAATTCAACACACTTTTTCAAGTGGTACAAAAAACTTGGTCAAAATTAGCATTTTATGAATTGGACCTTTGTACGAGGCGAAAAACTACAATGATCACTATTCACTATTAGTCAGTCAGTTTCTTCAAAAATTGAGCAGCAAAATATGACTACAGTTGCTGTAATTTGCTGCACATATGCGCCAAAAATGTTGTTGGAAAAATCTCAGCGTTCGTACGGTTTATAATCAAAATATTTTTTTATCAATATATCCATTATATCGATTAAAATGGATTTTGAGAGGTTATTGGTGAATTTACAAACTTTGTTATTTATCTCACTTCCTGTTTAGTGAAGTTGCTACGGATTACGTTTCATAAACTTAAAATTTTGTTCATTTAAATCTCTCTAATTTTTCAATTTGGCAGCTTAAAATTTTATTTAATTGTTATATTTTTAGGGATGAATATGTTTTTTGGGTTCTAATTTTGGAGAACGTTGATTTTTCAACAATTTGGTGTCATTTTGATGTAATTTTGCAAATTTGTCATCCAAATATTTCAAGAGTTCAATTAGCTGTAAGCAGTTTTCTGCAGAAAAAAAATGATTTTGTGGCCTGAGAAAATTGATGGTATTGTCGAAATAATCGAGTTTAATGGGTTTTCAATTGTCAAAAAAAATCGATTATAACCCCCTAAAAATCCATTTTCATGATAAGATGGGTCATGAAAATCGATCATATGGGTTGAGTTTTTTGCCAATATAATCTGTTCTAATCGATTATATCCCATGAAACTTCAGTGCGGGCAAAACGCTCGTCTCAATTTGATTTGGAACAATTTCTAAGACAGCTTAAAACTCCGCTTACTCATTAATATTGCGCGTTAATTGTCTCAAATGGGCCAAACTGGCAAACTTATAATCCCATAACTTTCAAGAAATTAATCACCGGAGAAAAATATTTTTAGTTTGAGATTAGGACAACAACGAAAAGTCAGGTTAGAAATTAGTCCAACGTCACAAGCTGAAGAGAAGATTTTTCAACAAATTATGATAATAGTTTTTTACATTTTGGTTAATGGGGGAATTAATTTTAGTTCGTGCTGTCACATTTTTCGGATTGTACAAAAAACTTGTTTGAAAGTAGCAGTAAAATTGACTTTTGTCTGAAGTAAAAAAAAAACTACTGCCAGAAAACTACATTTTGAAAAAAGCAAGCTTTTATGGAAGAGAGTTCTACGTCATTTTGAAATTTTCGATATTGCGTCCATGGTTCGTAATTTTTTGCAGTTTTTTGCTTATGTGACATTCAGCGAAACAGGAAAATTGGATCATCATCTAAGAATTTAGTGAAAAAATTTGTCTTCTTAAGGAAAAACATTATATAGTTGCTTCTTGATCCCACAGAATAATCGTGGTGTAAAAATTTGGCTAGAACACTCATAAAGAACACATAAAGAAACAAGGGTGCTCGCATCAGGGCGACACCCTGAATGTTAGTGGTGCCAATTTTTAACCTGGAAAAATCTTTATAACCATCAAACAACGAAGGAATCGAAAAATTTGATTGGCTTCCAAACACAAATTTCTCGCTTAAGAAGTGGCCGCATTTCCCAGTTCTGTTAACTCCCCTGACTCGAATTCAAAAACAACATGGATGTGAAAAATTCGTCGAAGGTCGCTTTTGATTTCAAATAGACTACGAGTTGACATAGTAGCTACGCTTTCAATTGAAAGCTAAGTGAAAAGGTGCTTTCACAACGTTATAAACAGCCTTAATTTAACGCCGATACTTCTTGGTATGGAAAAGGGGACAGGTGTGAAAAGGGGACTCGTCAAAAGGACTCGTTTGGATTTACATCAACAACATTGGCTCAAGGTAGATGAAGTTTTTTGATAATTTATGAAAAGTAAGATAGCATTATGAAATGAACAGTAGTACAAATCATGATATCAAATTGAATTTTTTGAGATTGTCTTCCTTGTGAACCAATATTTCTGCCATTTGTTTTATGCTAAAATAGTTTGACAATGAACGTGAGAACAATCTTTGACATAGTTGTTAGAATGATTGTGGTTTGAAAAACATATTTTAAACTGAAAAAAAAACTCTTACTAGATTATCTGTCCATGTCAAAAGAAACAAGACTGCTCGTATGAGGGCGAAGCCCTGATTGTTAGTGGTGCCAATTTGTTATTCTGGAAAAATCTTTATAACCATCAAACAACGAAGGAATCGAAAAATTTAATTGGCTTCCAAACACAAACTTATCAATTAAGAAGTGGCCGCATTTCCCAGTTCTGTTAACTCCCCTGACTCGAATCCAAAAACAACATGGATGTGAAAAAACCGTCGAAGGTCGCTTTTGATTTCAAATAAGCTACAAATTGACCTAGTAGCTACGTTTTCAATTGAAAGCTAAGACAAAAGGTGCTTTCACAACGTTATAAACAGCCATATTTTAACTCCGACGTGGTGAAGTGGTTACGTATCCGCCTCTCAATCGAAATGTCGGATGTTCAAGGCCCACCATGATCCGTGCTTGTTGCTTGAGGGTGAAGCAACATTACCCAGCCTAGAAAAATAACCAAAAAAATTGCATGTAGTTCTTAAACAGGGGCATAACAGCGGTTCGCCGTGATGAGCTGTGCTGCTCTTGTGTTGGTGTTTTCCCCCGTGGATAAATGGTATTTTATAAATATATATGTTTTTTTAATATAGTTGCTATAAGTAGCAGTAAACGCCCAAATTATTATAACGGCCTTTCAAAACTGAGTAAATTTTAAAACATGGATCAAATTAGACGTTTGCTGGCTGTTCGGACTTTTGGAAGAAAAATGACAGAATGTTTTTGGCTCTGGTGGACTTTTTGCGTGCAAGGTTGAAAAGTTGATTGCGACATGGTCGCAAAACTAGTTGCGGCATAGTCCAAAAAATAGTCGCGGCGTCATCGAAAAAAAGAATGCCAACAAATTAAAAAACAGTAATCAATTAAACAGAAGAAACAAATGAAAAAGAGTGATCGTATACCTGAAAGCTAAAACTATTTCGATTTTCTTTATAACAATATTTCAAGTCTTTTGATTATAAATGATGGGTCCACAACTTAAATCTAACAATAAAAATTTGTGCGAGACCACAAAAACTTACAGCGAATAACCCAACCAGAGATGAAAAATTAAATGCGGAGGCGTGACAGTTTATATATATATATATATATATATATATATATATATATATATATATATATATATATATATACTTGTATGCATGTATTACTCACTTTAATATCACGGCAAAACTGAAATAGATAGAGCACCAATGAATTGAAGCTGCTAGGTTTCCCGTACCTAGAAAACTTTCTGTGCAAGATCTGAAGTTATTTATTTCTTACGTAAGTTGATTCTCAGATCTGAATTTTTTTTATTTCAGATCTTGATTAAAATTTGAAAATTTCAGATATGAAATTTAGAATTGAAAAAGAAATTTTTAGATCTGAAATAACCTTGAAAAAAGTTCAGATCTGAAATTAGAGCTGAGAAACCCTTTATTGAGTTATAATTTATGTATTATTTTTCGATGTTTGTGCAAGGCACAACTATGTTTGGATTAACTAGCGGTAAAAAAAACTTCCGAATATTTTCACAAACAGTTTTTTTTAATTATTTTTCTTATTCAACGGTGTTGAAATGTTTTCAAAAACTGTCAGAAGACGTATCAATTTTTTAATTTTCATATGCAAACTATCTGTTTCCAATGTATATCTTATGCTTGAAGAGTAATTTTTGTGTGTCTCTCTTTTGAGAATTTGCTGAGTACCTGCTAGTAGCTAGCAGAAGCTATCAAATCCTTAAGAAACAAAAATACCAAAAATTGTGTCAAAATCATTGATTTTTCAGACCTGAAATATTTAAGAAAAACTAATTTTTAGATATGAAACAACCAAGAAAAAAAATCAGATTTGAAATTTGATCTGAAATAACCCATCCCTAAAGTATCCAAACGTTTTTTCAAAAGTTCACAATCATTTTAGATCTGAAAATAATTATTTCAGATCTGAATTAGAACATATGTGTCAAAATGTCACACTAGATACAAACTATGCGTTCCAGTTTGCAAGACAATCAAATTGAAAACAAATGACTCTTCCTATTTCTTCTATTTATGGTTCATCTGACTTAGAAAAAAAATAAATTAGCAAAAACCTACTGTAAACTTACTGAAAAGACCCTAACCGAACAGAATTGGTCAGAAAATTTTGACAAGCTCTTTATCGCTATATTTAACAAAAAGATGGGCCCTTTATGGCTTTATTCACCAATGAAGACACCTAGTTTTGAAAAAAATCTCAAAAATTTAAATTAGATGTTGAGCAGTTGGGGAATTTTTTCAAACTCATGCATTGATAACCCCAATGTGCGCGAGACTTCACAAAACGCACTGAACTTAGCCCAACTGCACCTTTTAAACTTTAATGTAAAATCCAAAAAATGCATCGAATGCGTCAACGCCGGTAAGCATTCAAAAAATCTCCACAGTTTTTGGTCTTGAGAAATAAGGCCACCATTATGAGGCCAAACTGTGAATTATGTGCATTGTAAGCGAATTCCGCAACATGCCCAAAACAGATTGGTCGCGGAATCTGTAACATTGCTACATTTCTTTCATAATCTTTGCTGTTTTGGATTCCACAAACAAATACCTAAAACACTGTACCGCTCAAAATCGTTCCAAAAATAGGCAAATTTGCGGAATCCGCAACCGTATTTGCGGAATCCAGAACAGTTTGTGGAAACCGCAAACAAATAATGAGACATGTGTATAGGTGAATTGAGCTGCTGCGGAATTGAGCTGTTTAATTGATCTGTTGCCCTGCCGTTCTCGAACCGAACAAGAAAAAACCTCGATTTCTCCGGCTTTCTACCTAAAGACTAAGAAAAAATTTTGTTTTTATGTGTAAGGATCGTTTTTCACAATTAATCTCGCTACACATCGCTAGCAGCAAACACATTCCTTAATTTTTTAGAACATTACAAAGCATCGCACGGCATACTTAGAAATATCAAAACTGATCAAGTATCAGGCTTTATAGTTAAAGAATGCAACGATTTTTGTCACATCTAACGACACAGTCAAAAAAGCTTTGGGGTTCTTTGGGGAGTAAAACTGGTTTTTTTTGGGATACCTAGGACTGGTTGAAGACTGGTAGAAAACAAATAAAAAGAGACTCCTAATAACGGCACAAAAAACTAATACCACAATTAGAACTGGTCATGGTGAAATCTAACAATACCTAAGTTTTTACGGCAGCAATGATTAAATTTCCCGCCCCTTGAAGTGCACTTTGGCAGAACCAGGCGCGGATCTAAGAATTTCTCGAGGGGGGGGATTTCAAAAATTTTGTAAACCTTTTTTAAAGTCGACCAAATTGGTTTTCTGAGCTCTCCCAAACCACTATAAAGACCCTAATTTGACCAAACTTTCTACACTGCAGGAAAGTTTTTGAAAAAAGGTAAAAAAGCGGTTTTGGAAAATTTCGACCAAAAAATCGCCTTTTTTTTCTGCGCGCGCCCCCATCTCAAAACTAGGTTATTTTGGCGCCAAAAGCGCCTTAAAACAATGTCAGGGTCAGTCAGCCGAAAATGGATATCTCAAAATATTAGAAAAGGGGTACCCTTCGGGTCGGCAGGGGGTCGAATCCCTGAAGAAAAAGGCGTCCGCTAGCGCCTATTACAGAAAAACGCAACATATCGCTTTTTATCATTCCAAATTGATCAATTTCGCCAACTTTCAAACCCCCATTACTTTACAAAAACTTATCAAAGGTGAAAACTTTTAAAATTTTAGCTCAGGATAACGATAAACTTCAAATAGCAACAAGACTGCTCGTATGAGGGCGAAGCCCTGAATGTTCCGACTGCCTTTTAACGTTTTATGGAGCAGTAATATCATTAAAAATTTAATGTAATAAAAAAAAATTTTAAATTTGAATTTTTTTTAATGAAAATCCTCCCCCCACACGCCATTTAAAGTACAAAAAGATAAATTTAGCTCCTTGTAACAATTCAAATATGGCAAATAAGCTTCTTTCAACCAATTTGGAACGATTTTAAGACGGATTAACTCTGCGCTTACGCGTTAATAGCGCGAAATATATCGCGCGTTAATTGTCCCAAATTGGCCAAAATGGCAATCTTTAAACCCCCATAACTTTACGAAAAGTGATCACAGGTGAAATATCTTTTCAAATTTGAGCTCAGGGCATCAATACCTTTTGAATGATTTTGAAAAATTCCGTCAAAAAAGGCTAGTTAAAAAGTCGAAATTTGTCTGAAGAAAAAAAAAACCCACCACGAGCACAAATATTTCGTTACTTTCGTATCGAAAGTCGGAACAAAAAAAATTAAAACGCCTAGATTAAATGCCAAAATTCGACTGAATAAAGAAAACTACCTCAAACATAATTATTCAACAAGAGTAAATTTGTGTGGAACGACGTTGCTCTTTTTGCTCATATATCGATATTCATCGGGGTTGTCGTATTTGTTTCCTTCCCTCTCCCTCCAACTTCGAGCTTGAGGTTCAAGCCTCTAAAAAATCCAGCATTTTCAGAAAACAAAATATTATCAAATTTAATTAGTTTGAATTTTGCGTGAACGTTTTTTTTTTCAATATTTTTTTCGAAAATCTACGTTGTTGAACAGACAGATGCTTCTATCGCAGTTTCGGTGGTTAGAATTTGGTCATTGAAAGCCAGCCGCGCAGCAACAGAAACGTTTCAAGTATTTGGAAAAGGGCTATCTACTGGTTTTCCATACCATTCTTCTAATTGGTTCCTAGTTTGCTCGCCTTTCTCTTTTGAATTCGCACATTAATATAATTTTCCTCTTTATTTTACCGTGGAAATATTTTCTTCAGGCAGCAAATTTCGATTTACGAATTGATTCAGCGTAGCTTATAGCATAGTCCGATTTGATCTGGTTCATAACTCTAGTTAATTAACTTTCATAACTAGGTCATTAAAAATGGGGGATAAAGTGCAGAACACCAGGTGAGAATAGAGCAAAAATCAACATATCTTGAAATATTTGACTTTCCACCAATTTTTCCATCATTTTTGTGACCAATAATTCAGGAGCTAGAACTAATTTGATTTGCGTAAGTTTTTTGGAATGAGACACCTTTCAGTTCAAAAGATCAAAGATTTAAATGTCATCAGCCGAATTTGGCCAGAAATAGGTCTTTTGTCAAATTCTGCCCATTTTTGATAACATATCAATCAGACGTTTTTTATTGCTTGTCCAATCACAGACGGGTTTTTTGTTTGATTTAGAGGTTTTTAGCACCGTGGTAGGGCGTTCACCTTAGAGCATTGGTAGGGCGTTATCAGATCATGACTAGCTCTCAGAGGACCTATAGCTTCAAGCCTACCACAGCCTGACTAATTTAGACAAAAATAGGAAAACCCGTAAGAATTCATGGAGTCGAAAAACTAACGATATAACTCATTCTAAAACGAGGTATAATACTCTTGGTTAGAGGTGTTTGACTTATGTTTCGACCAAATTAGGTCCAAAGAAATGAAAACATAGTCTAAACATACTCGAAAGCTATCCGAGTCTTGTTCGAACATAAAATAGAGTCGGAACATAGTCGAACACAATATGCAGTCAAAAAACATTCTCGAAAATTAGTTCATACTCAAGACTATTCTAAATGTGATTTTGAACAAAAGTAGCTGAAGCGAAATTTTGCCAATAAAAGTAACTAATAATAAGCTTTTCATGTATTAGAAAAAGAGTTTCCCACTTTGGACAAATCCAAATGAAACCAGAAAAGTAGCTCAAAAATAACTGCATCTATATATTAACCAGGAGCACAACAACAGTTCTCCGTGAAGAGCTGATGCAGATAAAAAAAATTTTTTTTTTCGTAAATGCCATACTAGTGTCCAGTCAAGAAAAATGGGTATTTATTTTTTAAATCTTTGCACTATCACAGCAGATTTAGACGGCCGATATTCGCTGCTTTTCAAATGATATCATTTAATTTTTGCTGATTGTATGCTTAACATACGATTGGATAAGGTAGATGACTAGTGCATTTTTTTAACGAGTTTTGATTAGAAAAAAAATTCCAATTTATAGGATTGTTTCTACTCTGCAGGCCATTTCTCTTAATATTACTTTCAGTTTTCTGGAACAAAACATTTTGGTCAAAAATGACTTATAGACATTCGACGTTGGTTTTCTATAATGTTTGGTCTTATGAGTAATCGAAAAATTTTCAATCTTTTTTTGAAAACTTACTAGTAAAAAAATTCGTATTTTAGAGCTCAATCGTTTCATTGACTTTGAAAAAAAGTTGACAAAGTTTTGCCTCTGTTTTCCAGGTCTTATTAGCTAGATCAGCATTTGGATTATCGAAAAAAAACCTTGTTGAATTTGCTCAATATACTACTTTGCAAGGGTTAGATAATGGTTCGTTTAAGTAAGAAATTTGGCATATTTTCCGGTAAATTTTTTTTTGTTTTCGGTTGCTGATAAAATTGTTTTTAAAGATCAATGAGCTGGAAAACTCAAAAATATATTCATTATAGTTGCAGGAATTTGTGATCAAAGAAATCAAATGCCGAAAGTGTCTAAGAAACTTCTAACAAAGAGCAAGCAACCAATAATTTGCTATTGAAAGATTTTCTAAACAATTTTTTTGAGGAAAATTTTGCATCAATTATATGTTGCCCAATAGTTTCTGCGATAAAAAATACTGACTTTTTGTTCATATAAAAGCTTTTCAAATGATTTCGTTGATGCTTGTAATTTTGAGTGAAGTTTCTTTGAGTTAATTCTGTCAGTTTAAGGTCGTTGTAAATTGGTGTTCCCTCGCGTTTAACGGCCGCGGAATTATTTTGTTTTTCAGATATTCATCAAAAAAAATAAAGTATGAGCGTGCATATTGCATTGCAACCGTCTCTAAAACCCAGGGTACCGTCTTTTATTCAAACGTTTTAACTTCCAGATCAGAAGATTGGCAAAAAAAACATAAACCCATGGTACTGTCTTTTATTCAAACGTTTTGACTTCCAGATCAGAAGATTGGCAAAAAAAACATAAACCCATGGTACTGTCTTTTATTCAAACGTTTTGACTTCCAGATCATCAGAAGATTGGCAAAAAAAACATAAACCCATGGTACTGTCTTTTATTCAAACGTTTTGACTTCCAGATCAGAAGATTGGCAAAAAAAACATAAACCCATGGTACTGTCTTTTATTCAAACGTTTTGACTTCCAGATCAGAAGATTGGCAAAAAAAACATAAACCCATGGTACTGTCTTTTATTCAAACGTTTTGACTTCCAGATTGGCAAAAAGCATACTTTTTTGGCAAAAAGCATACTTTTTTCGTCAATTTGATTGTTTTCGGTCAAGGTGCTTTCAACGCGGTCAAACAAACAGTGTCAACTTTGGAAATTAATATCAAAAGCAGTCGAACTGTCTTCCCGAAGTAGTCGAAGGCATCAAAGTTAACAAAAGAGGGCGACAATTCGTTACAAACGGCAATTTTAACACAGCATTGGCAAAGCTCAAGCGTTTTGCTGCGCTGCGCTTTTATCCGGCATGAGAAGAATAGTGCGCGTGAGCCAGTGTTCCTTGCTTAACATGCTGTCGCGGTTTGTCGTTTCTTACGAATTGTCGCCTCCCCGAGTCGAGGTGATGACTTTTATGTTTCGTCTTTCAAAGTCGAGTACATGCCAATAAATCGGAGTCAGACACAACATTTTTTCGAATAGCATCATACTTGTTTGCGTTTCTGACTAAAATTGAAAACCAGAGTATCCATTGGATGAAAAATAATAAGCCCAGAAATAGTGCATCTATACGAACATTCAAGTTGCAAGTAACACAATAATTTCATTCTGATAAAAAACATCCCGATTTATTACCCAAAAAGTATAAATTATAGTTTTTAAGTTTGGATAACTGATGATAATTGAAGTAAAAAAAACACCCAAATTCGGTCTAAACGGTCGAAATCTATCAAAATTTAGTCGAGACAGTCGAAACATATAGTGAGCACTTCAACCCGGATCACAATGAAAGGCGATATTTAGGCTGAACGGTCCAAGAAGTCTCGAAATATTTGTCAACGCGGTGTCGAAAAATAAACAAATCGTCACTCTATTTTTTGATTTAGTTTCCAGCTGGTGGATGACATCGACAGGAATGATTGTGAGATTGGAGATCCGGTTGAGATGCTGGACCAGATGGCGGATAAGTACAAGAGACAGAAGGACATGTACCGAGAGGCCAGAGACTACTACTTCAAACTCAACCTCTGGGTCTTCTACCTTCCACTCCTCATAGTCCAAGGCTAGTAAACAGTTAATAAATAAGTTATATAAAAGGTACATAAGTTAAATAAGCTACGTGAACAAAAAGAAAACGATTAAAAAAATGTGTGTTGATACTTAAAATAAACATTTTGCTTTTTGATGGATCACTTGACGGGTTTAAATAAAAATCTTTTGATGTACACTCAGCAGACAGGGGCAGATCAAGGATTTTTTCGAGGGGGGCGGTTTTTCAAAAAAATTTAGAAATTTCTGTCGACCTTTTTTTGTTTAAGCTTGACCAAATTGATTTTCCGAGCACACCCAGAACACTATAAAGACCCTACTTTGACCAAAAATTTAGCGCCACACAGGTCAAAAAGCCGTTTTTGGGCACTTTTGGAAACGTTTGAGCAAAAAATTGCATATAAAATTATGTTGGTTCCAAATCAATTTTTAATTTTAGCGATTATTGTAAAAACATATGGTTATACTTGAAAAATCATTGGCTCTTAATTTGCTACTGAAAATGAAGTAGCTGATGATCAAACAGGGTACATCAGGGTATGATCAATTGCTTGTAAGTATAACTGGTTATCTTAAACGCTGCGATTGTGGTTATCGGCGAATCCATAGACACTTTCCTTAGATTTCTTAACCGAAATACACCGAAAAAAAACTTTAGAAAATATTTGAAGTGAAAGGAAATATCAAACAAGGTTGCTCGTATACCAGGGTGAAAACTCGCGAGTTCCGACAACACTCAAAATTCTTGGGTAAAAAAATTGATGAAAAATTGATGAGTTTTTTCTGCAATTTATTTCCTTACACGCTAATGTAAACTAGAAAGGAATGTGTTTAGCGTCTCACATTCTCACCTTAAAAACAATTCTCTCAATTCAAGGCGAAACCGCATTAATCAGCCGCCTACGCGTGTTGTAAGAACGCAATATATCGCCTGTTAACTGTCCCAAATTGGCCATATTAGCAGTTTTCAAACCCCATATCTTTACAAAAAACCAACACAGGTGAAATATTGCTTACATTTGAGCTCCAGATAACAATGTTTTCCAGATGGTATAAATATGTTTGTGAGAAATGCTTAGCTTAAGAGTCATAAATTGAAAGAACAATAAAAAACAAATATAATTATACCAATTTTTCTACTTTTAAGTTGCTGGTATACATAATTATGCACTGAATCATCCGACTGCACTTAAAGGCCAACTATAACGTTCAAGGCAAATTTTAAAAAAGTGATATATTAGTAGAATAAAAATGTTTTTCTTTTCAATTTTTTTTTTCAATTTTTGCCCATTTACGCTATGTAAAGTACAAAAGGATGTAGTTAGCATCTCGTAACCAAAAATTAGCCTCAATTTAACTGGAAATTATTTAATCCTCCGTTTACGCGTGCGATAAGAACGCAATCAATTGCCTGTTAATTATTCCAAATTGCCCAAATTAGGAATTTTCTAACCCTTTTTTGCAAAAAAATGATCTCAGAAATTTTTGTTTTGAACAACTGCATTTATCTCTAAGCAACAATATTTTCAGAGGAAATAAAAAAAATGTCAAAAGAGGTAACTCAAAAATTTTTTGATTAAAAAAATCACTACAAAAGTTAAAACAAAAAATTGCTCGAAGTAGGCCAAGACTCTGAGTGTTTTGTCTCCCCGTTAAAGGACTTGAATAATCTTTGGTGAAAATTTTCGATGATATAATGATTGAACTAGATTAAAAATGATGCGCAAAAATTTGAGCTAGACTCACTTACTGAAAAAAGTTGTGAACAAAACCTACTCAAGTTGTCAACTTTAGAACTTTCACGAAAAATGTTTGTACGAGAGATAACTTTTAGAATTCGGTCTTAGTGTACAAACATCTGGCAGATGGTTAGAAAATTTGTCAAATATTCAACTAGAAATTAAAAGATGGTCTGATTAAAAAACGACCTGGAGATAAAAAATATTTTTTTCCTCGAAAGTAGAAACACTAAATTTTCTCGTATATTGGCAAAATCGCAAGCAAGGATTTTCTTGTTACTGTCCAAAATAGCTCAGAAGGTTTCCACCGCATTCTTAGGTAACAGTCAAATTAGTGTTGCTTTTTTTCTGTGTGGTGTTATGAAAAGATCCGAACAAAAAAACTAAAATTTAGGCATACTCGATTGGAAACAGTTAAAACATTTAGGCCAATTGGAAACAGTTTTTGTAGAAGAAGACTAAAAATAAAAACATCGTAATTTTGTTTTTCAATCTCAAAAGTTGTTTCTAACTTTTTTTGCATAATTTTTTGAGTTTTTGAAAATTTTGATTCCCGCAATGGCGCTAAAAAGCTCCTAAAACTAACTTTACTCGAGTAAAACTAAATTTTTACGGCTTAAATTAAGCTTGAATAAGCCTGCACGCTAATTTTACTAGATCAGAATTAAACCAGCAATCAAAACACTGAGACAAAATAACGATTTTTTAAAAAAATTTTCTTCAAATCACGAATGAAAGGTATTTAAGATGATATTTAATTCGAGCTCTCTAATGATTATTTGGGGCACCTGATTTTGCGTGAAAAACAAAATGAAAGAAAAGAAAGAAGAACTAAAATACGCACCAATACAAAATTTATCCACACGTTTCAAATGGTCGGAACATTAATCCTGTAGGTGTTTGCAGTAGTTTTGCTTAGAAAAACTGTAAAACGATTTAAAAGAATTTATATTTTCATTATTGTTAAAAACTTTTCCAAATTTAAAAACAGAGTGACTTTTTTGGGCTTTTCTTATGGTGCAGGAACCGAATTTTAACAAACCTTAAGTGAACCACAATTCTCTAAAACCGTATCAAGTTGAGCAATTTACGAGGACAACCGAAAGCCAAATTAGCAGAATGTAACCTGGCGGGAAAAACTTTTAACGAGTGCTGGAAAAATCGTAGTCAAAATACTTCCAGAAAATCATTACGAGGCCAAGCTGTGCAGTTTATCAATTGTGAGCCGATTCCGCAACAGGCCAAAAACAGAATTGCTATTTTTTTTATTTCCTTCGCTGTTTTGGATTCCACGGACAAATAGCTAAAACAGTGTATTGCTGAAAATCGATCCAAAAACAGGCAACCTTGCGGAAATTGCAGCAAAAGTTTTAGAATCCGCGGCACAATTTGCGGAATCCAGAACAGTTTGCAAAATCCATAGAAAAAAAATAATAGACGTGTTTGAAAAACTTAAGCTGTCGTGGAATCCGCAACTGCAAAGTGGATCTGCAAATTATAAGTGGAATCCGCAAACTGTAAGCGGACTCCCCAAACTGTGAGCCGAATCCACAAATTGTAAGAGGAATCCGCATAAATTTGCGGAATCTACTCACAATTGCTGAATCCACTTACATTTGCGGAATCCGAAACAACTACCTATATTCGCTCGTTGCGGAATCCGCAACAAAAATTTTGTACCGTCAAAATTTACTTAACATGTTTTTTTACGCCGAATCCACTTACATTTTGGAGCATGTTTAAAGATTTATGCCCGGAATCCAGAAAAATACAGACGCAAAATTGCAGTGCATATTTTAGCCTCGTAACGATCATTATTAGCCTTTTTCTTGCTCAAAAAGTCTCAAAAACCTGTACAACTTGTAGGAATAGCTTTTTTGCATAGAGTTGTATGATAAGCCATTTTATTCAAAAAGGTCACGCTGCAAGCATACCCTGTTGAAGGTCAAGTAGGCAGCTTCTTGCCCAGAAAACTTTAAAATGATCCATAAGAGTGAATGGAAACTATTAGCTCCGGTTGACCTTCAAAAACCGAGAATGCTTATCTTACAATTCCATACACCAAAAACGCTTTCCATGAAAAATAGCTTGTCTTAGAGTTTTCTTATCATTTTCTGTATGCATTTTTTTATATATGAAAATTGTAGGATAAATATTTTTGAATTAACAGCTGAGTTTTGATTAACAGAAAATTCATGCTGCAAGACAATGGCATACACCCCCCTCGCTTTATTTTATTTAGAGGAAAAATTAGTCACGCCCGGATTTATTTAACTATATTTCCCTCCCTGTTTCATCATATGATAAATTCGTTACTATAGGTACAAATGCGCATAAGCTTATTTCATTGAGTTCTTTAGTTCTAGATGTGTTTCTTATGTACCATAGCAGGGGAGGGGCGTGTAAGCAATCCCCCCACTCTTTAATCTTCTTGTGTCTATGCAAGGAGGGTATGAAATGACCCCCCCCACTCTTTGATCCGCTTCGTATGTGTCTAGGTCTCACAAACGTGCTCACCCACACCTCCATCCGACCTGACTTCGGCTATGCGAGTGAGATGCGAACTACAGTGGCAATCCTCAACGCACTCGTGTCTGTCTGGACTGCCGCACAACTCAAACTGGGGTGAGCAGAGAGAAAAATCCTCTTTTTCACCCCACACCCCCCACCAAAAAATCTCGATTTTTATCAAAATCGGTTTTCTCAAAAACCTATTTATTTCATGAAATTGTAAATTTTTTTACTTTCATGCAATTGGGTTTTTCAACAAATCTAACGCAATTTCGAATTATAACTAACGAAGATGATGTCAAACTAAAAAATAGCCGGAACGAAAACCATGCAAGAACATAGGACTACAGTACTCAATAAAATATCTGGACGAAACGAACGGAGTTGAAATATTTTGAACGCGTTTTCTCAGGTTGCGTTGACATTAGACAGTAAAATGAAGAAAACTTAAAGTTGTTTAGTGTTTTACCAGATTACTACTGTCCATTATAATTTTGAATTTCGGACCCGAAATGTTACTCGAAAACTGGTTTTTGTAATTCCCTCAAAGAGTACTCTCAAACTACGGAGTTAGTTGTTAGGCACAATGTTTTAAAATGAACGTTTTGTATAGCTAAACAATATTTACGAAGGTTGTCACCACCAGAAATTTGTTAAATGAGGAAATGTTTTTTATATAGAGCAATTTCGAAGTTTTGTACCGTTAACATCAAATATTAGCTTTTAAAACATGAGACTTTTCGACTTTAGAAATTCGAATGTCCAAGTAGCTTGCTTTATTGTTCCGACTTTCGATACGAGGTGGGTTTTTTTCTTCAAACTAATTTTGACTTTTTAACACTAGCCATTTTTGACGGAATTTTCTTAATACCATTCGAAAGGTTTTGTTGTCCTGGGCTCAAATTTGAAAAGATATTTCACCTGGGATCATTTTTCGTAGAGTAACGGGGGTTTAAAGATTGCCGTTTTGGCCAATTTGGTACAATTAATGCGCGATGTATTTGGCCTGTTAACGCTTAGGAGGAGATTTAATCCCTCTTAGAATAGGTCCAAATTGGTAAAAGGAAGCTTATTTGCCAGAAGTGATTTGTTACTAGAAGCGAAATTTATCACTTTGTACTTTATATGGCGTGTGGGGGATTATTTTCCTAAAAACCTCAAATTTAAAAAAAAAAAATTTTACATTTATTTTTTTTCATGTTTTTACTGCTTCATAGACCTTAAAAGGCAGTCGGAACATTCAGGGCTTTGCCCTGATACGAGCAGTCTTGTCTCACATTGGATTGTTTGATTGCAGGGTGAGATGCGAACTTTCACCCGCATCTCACCCACTTCGCATCACAGAAAACCTCATCAAAATGCTCATAAATAAGTGCAGTACAAAAAAACGGCAATTTTCAGCCTCCAAAAGTTTGACCAAAAACTACCACAGATAAAATATCTTTTTTATCAAACCAGGGAGTAGATACAGTCAAGCAACAAAAATTTTTTCACGTTTGTGCCGTTTTCTCTACAATTAAAAACTATTCGAGGTTGAATTTTTGACATTTGATAGATGACACTCTTTTTAGACAACAGCCGGATAATCACTTTACAAAAAATTATTTTAAGGCGCCATTTAATAGGGGACGACCGAGAAGTGTTCTTAACGCAAAAAAATACCTGTAACTAGTTAGCGCAAGCAGTTTGAAACTTTGGACCTAAAATGGACGTTGGAAAGTATTCTGAGGATCTCAGCTAGACCCTCATATATGTTTTTCCTTACTTAAAAAAGAAAACACAAAAAAACTCAAAGCTAAGAGTAAAATTAAAAAACAAACAGTTAAATAAAAAACATAACCTACATAAGGGTCCAGCTGAGATCCTTAATTTTCCTACGAATACTTTTTTAGGTTCAAACTTTCAAACTGCTTGGGCTGTTTACTGGAAATTTTTGACACTTAGAACAAGTTGCAGTTAGTTGCAACTTCTATGTCCCCTGATTGTACTTTCATAGGGTAACCCTTACAACTAGCAAAAAAAATCCTAATAAAAGACCATTCGCAAACAAAATCTAAGGAAACCACCAACTTAAAGTAAAATTTGTATATAACCCTCTGATGGCAAGCTCGCAGCACGTTAGCGCGTCTGCAGCGCTGAGCATATTGCAAGCTGGCTTTTAATGCGAGTTGTCTTTTGTTGCGAGTTGTCGCCTTACGCTTCGTTGCAACGAATGCGTGTGTTTCAGAAGCATATGTATGCCGTTGCATTTTTCGAAAATTGGAAACAAGTTGGCATTTTTGGCTGTCAAATAAAAATATTCTTGAAACAATGTTTGAAAAATTATGCCACCCCTAAACTTTGTTGGGGATAAATTAGAACTCTCTCACTTTCTCACAAAAAATTCAACAATTGACCCGGCTGTTTCAGCGTAACTTTTGATTGACTAAAAAAAGCCAAAATTTTAGAGATGAAAACTTGAGATTTCGATTGCTCTGCAAATCAACTAAGCAATTTTTTTTGTCATTTTTTGTCTGATAACAAACCAAAAAATGCTTTTAAAATTCCAATTTCATTTGTATTGTTGGATTATTTTGAATCAGCACTGTATTCTCATGACAGTATGCGAGAAAGATTTCGACCAACTAATGTCTAAAACATGTTGCCGGTCGATGAGCAGAATGGTCTAAGGGTAGAAGTGTGAAAAAGCGGAAAAACAGTAAAATAGTGAATTATACAACCTAATAAACAAAATTAAGTTTTAGAATGCTCAGTACTTCTAATGAATTAAACAATTTATACATAAATTGACTTATTTCAATAAGTTGTTTTTTTGTAATTTAATGAAAACAAAATTCAATGAAATTTGTCAGAAGTCAACTTTTTTCTGTTTTTCTTATCTCAGACTTTTTGTGCTCTTAGATCATTCTGTTTATTCCTCAGCTTCTTTCTAAAACAGAAAATCGATCTATGAGGAAAATAACTTGAAAACTCCGGCATTCACTCAAACAGACAGGCTAGGTCGGCTTTTTTAAGAATTAGCTGAATCAAAAAGGACTGAATTAATTTTAACTAATCGAGTGCGGCTAGTGTTTCCCGGATCGGAGGTTGTGATTTATGTTTCGACCGAAGCGGATCGAACACATATCAGAGCTCGACCAGACAATCATAGTCGAGAAGGCCATGTAGTCAACTGAAAGTCGAGTCGGTTGAAACATAAAAATTCGAAAGCGAAATCGAAAGATAAAGTCAAATTAAAGTTGAACACAAACACCATGTTGAAAAACATAAAGTCGAGTCGGTCAAAACATTAAGTCGAACACGCATTAGCAACAAAGTCTGTTCTATTAGCATAATTTGTTCTTGCTTTATACATTGACTTCACAAATTTTGAAACTTGGGAGGAACAAGTAGAAAAAATCCCTGTATTTTTGAAGAGTGTTGTTTGAACTTATAGATGGAATATTAAGACCCGCTCGGCCAGCTCCACCCTGACCAAGTACAGAGAATTGAGTGGACAAATCGACACCCTCAACATCATCCTCAGATGTCAACAGGAGAAGTGTAAGATAACTATATCTAAGGGGGGGGGGGGGTGTTTCTTCTTGACGCAGTTAAAACTTAAATGATATGTTGATATGATCCTAACTATATGAGTTTCAATTGAATCAAACTGGTCATAATTGAGTTTTTCTTGTTACTTTTTGAGAACTACAAACTTGGACTAAACGAGAGCAACAATGATTGGACTAAACGAGAGCTTTTCTTCTAAAAATCCAATTTTTGGCATTTTTTTAAATTTCTGTTTGTGGTTTTCAAAGCAAATTAAGCAAATTTGTGAGTTTTTGTTCTAAGTACTCTTTAAACCCAACTGTGAGCGAAATATTATTAAAAGTAGAATTAAAAAAGTATTTCCCGCTCCGTTGACAGTTTTAATCTATGTTCGTTTCTTTCTCGGAAAAAAAGCTGAAAACAAAAAAGCAAACATCGGTCAATCAGAGTTGCGCTGCATTTAGTTCATTATCAGCGTTGTAATTTTTGGCATTATTTAGCCTAGTTTTGGCGCCGATTCCGGCGGAAAATGTGCGTTTTGGCAATAAAAATGTATTTTCGGAAAACTTCAAATTTCCACTAGATTATAAAACAAAAAAAGCTGTACTCTACAAACTTAAACTTGCATTTGTCCAAAAATTATACTAGATCATCAAACTTTTCTTTTTATTTGAGCAGTGATTCTTATATAAATGATAAACTAATTGAATCAGTATTTAACTATTTCTCACATAAAAACTGAAATGATCCCCCTTTTGTGTTTTTATTTCCAAATTTCGGGGAACCTCTGTTTTCGGTATCTGTTTTCGGTACAAAATGTTATGCATTTGTCGGCATTTCGGCTGAGCCGAGAAATACGATTCCTGTTCATTATATTATTTGGAAATTATTTTAACCGAACTTGAATTAAAAATTCTAACCCACATTGTGAAAAAAGTTCGAGATAAGTCCAGATTATTGGGTCTTTTCTGTTATACGGCCCAAATTAACAGGGTGTTCTGGGTGTTGCAAAAATCTGGGTGTTCAATAAAAACAAAAGATCAATTAACAGTTCTGATAATTTTAGGTTGTATAAAAGAAAATACCCAGATGTTTTAGCAAGAAACTCAAACTGGTTGCTTGAACTAATCTAAAAAAGATTCGTCCAAAAAAGTGTTGACCGGAAATCGGAAACTTTCCTAGGGATTCTGTTGATTCCTTTTTGATTTCCAGGCACTAAGGGAGCCATTGACTTTGTGAACACCTGCTACGAGAAGGAGAAGTCAATAATGGAGAATGAGATTACCATCCCCACCTTCATTTCCAAGAAATACGCTGTCAAACACCTGGAGCACTTAGCAGAAGAACAGGATGAGGACAGTGATAACGACGCGGAGTCGAATGCCGAAGTGTCGATTGACCTCCATTCGACCGATTTCAACCTGGACGAAAATGAGAGTATGGTTGACGAAGAACAAGTTGACGTGAAGGAACAAGCACCTGTACAAGCGGCAGTTGTTCCTCCAACTGTCGATGGTAAGAAATTGTCTTGGGAAACTTTTCAGCGCGATGATGATGTTGATTGGTGCCTAAGTTTCTCAAACAAGGGGTTGGATGTTCGAGGCCCAACATGGTCTCCGCATGTGTCTTGAAAGCGCAACAAGTTTTCTTTATGAAAAAAAAAGCTTGTAGACGGCTCGTAATTTTGCTTTGCTTAGCGTACAACTTTTCTTTGAATACTGATTTGCAAATCAATAATCGAAAAACTCATGACAGATACTGATTTCCCCTAAATTAGAATGTACAAATAATGCAAAACGCGGATACACAAGTAGTAGAACTTTTGCTGCTATATAGTTGTTTGGAGCTACAAAAAGACAACGAACATAATGATAACTAGCACCATCGGTTTTTTTCTCCAAAAAATACTCAAGCAGTATGTGTTGTTATTGTTGTATTCTGAAAACAATTTTTGCGTTCCTTGCAATTCACAAAACACTTCTACCGGGACTCCAAAAGAACAATAACTTTTGAGAAAAAATTAACTTCCAGATTTTTTTCTGGTTTTATTTTCTTTATTTTAGATAGATTTCTAGCCCTCAGTCCTAGAGTTTAAGTTCAATGCAAGTTAAGCAAAACATAAATTAATAAGATAGATCAAGTTATAATTAATTAGTTAGTTAACATTTTTTCCACCAAGATAAAGAAAGCACTTAATTGCTTGTTTAAGACAAAACCAACCCTGGAGCCTCTGGAAAGACCAATCCAGCTCCCAAACCTGCGTCTCTTAAACCTGCATCTCCGAAAACATCCGATACCAAAGCTCCCGCTGCTGGACAAGACGACAAACCACCCGAAGACCCCGCAACTAAAGTTCTCGGCGATTTCTTGTCGTTCGAAGACCGTAACATGAACAGTAGCTTGCTGTTTAAAACACTCTTGGCTCGATTTAGAAACCTCAAATGGTTATATGGGCAAGCGGCTAATTATTACCACCTGATGAATCTGGCATTTTTCTACACGCCTCTGTTGATTTTTGGAACAATAAATACTATTCTCACCTCTTTGATTGTGGGCGATTCGCTGGGCTACATCTCGCTTCTAATTATCGTTGTGTCGGCAATCGTCTCGGTCCTGACAGGTTAATTTTCAAAAAAATTTCGTATGATTTCACCAATCATTTATCAAGCTTCGAACCCTGAATCTTAATTTGTTGCAAAAATGAAAATATGTTCGTTCAATTCCATCAGTCGAATTAAAAAAGCTGAAATAAAAAATACTATTATAACTTTCGGTGATTGAAAGAGCAAATAATCCTAGCTACAACCTAAGAGGAGTTCATCATCTTTTTATTAAGCACCTAGGACCTAGTGAACTATCTCCCCCTAGAGCAATTTAGCAGAGAGATTGTTCATTTGGTTGAAATTAATGTTTTCAGCTAATAAGATTTGAGCACAGTACATGCATGCATTACTGCTTGAATTTGCCATTTCATTTTAGGGTTGAATTGTTCATTTGGTGTTTTGATGGTGAAGATTGTTCACAAGGACCAGAAGCTATATTATAAGTGCTTGGAAAGAGCTAGCAATTTTCTATGCAAACAATCTTTCGATGGCATTGATATTGTACAAAGAGTTTTTTCGAGAAACATATCATAGATATTTAACGCAGTTGAAAAAAATACTGGAAATAGAAAAAGGTCATGGTTCCGGAATTAACCGAAAAAGGTTTCATGTTGAATTTTTTTCCCAAAGAGTCAAGGCACTATTAATTGCTCTCAAATTACAGTGCTGATTTGAATTATCTGGAAAAAATGAGAAAAACTTGAAAATTAAGGCGCAATTTTCTCATGTGGGATGATTGTTGATAAAAAATAGAGAAGACAAAACTTCCTCAAATTTTTAGCTGAATAGATATTGCTTTTTTAGTCGATCAGAAATTTTTCAAGAACTACCGCTTTTTTTGACAAAACTATCTCAAAGTGATCCTCTTATTAGCTCAACAAAGCTTAAAAACAGTATCATTTTCTCAATTTTGTTATGAATAATTTTATATCATTTTGATAATCATAAAAAATCGTTTTTTCCAAAGTATCAATTTTTCATATAAGATTACTTTGTATCATAATTTTGACATAATTTTTGATTGACTAAAATAAGCCAAAAATGATCGTTTTAATGGTAAAATTTTGGGAGTGAATTTCTCAAAAGAATTGCTTTCTTTCAAATCTGCTCAAAATCTGCGCAAATTTTGTCATAGGTCAACATAATTTGATATAAATGCTATTCAAATTTCAAGGTTTATTCGTATTGTCCGGATAATTAAAATCTGTTTTCTGATTTTTCTTCTAATATTTATTAAAACGGACAATGAATTTTGTTTAAAAAAACTTATAAGTGATTATGCGCTTCATACGCTTTTCGACAGACGTTGTAAGTAGCGGCTAAATAATCTGACGCACACACGAGTCAAGGTTTTTGGCAAAAAGGGAGGAGGTTTTGAGCGACATTTTCAAGTCACTAAAGTGATTTCTGAGCCTCAGAAAACACTAAGAAGGCCATATTCACCCAAAAAGTCCTAACAGTTCAAAATCAGTTTTTGTGCTGAAAGGTATTTAAAGGTTTGCAGCAATTGGTGAGAGCGACAGTAAAGTATAGGGTTGTAAAGTGCAGCGCTGTATTCACGATTTGAGATTGTAATGATGCAAGATAAACAAATGACAGATACTGTTACAAAAATCTAGTGTCCAATACAATAAAAAAAATAGATATTTCTGGTTAACTGAACTAAATTCCGTCCAAAACTGTTTTCCTAACCCAGGGTTGCCTGTTGCTGTGTGAGTAACACAAAACTTTCGGACAGTTATGAAAAAAATTTGGAAAAAAAAAGTTTTTTTTTTTTCAATTTGGGTCGTTTCTGGTCCGTGTTGCGATGAAAAGATCTGAGTAAATGCCTAGAAAAACTGGAGTATATTCAATATTATGAAAGAATAACCATATTCGACAACTTTGATATTCAAAAACTGAATATAGGAACGGAAAAAAAAAGCTTTTTAAATTTCAAGCAAAAATTTTTTGAAGTTTTTCTCCGAAAAGCGCCGAGAGAAAAATCGAAAACTAATACTATAAGAACGAAGCTCGATTTCGGTTTCAATCAAAATTTAGGACCCTTTATAAGTGTGCTTGCTCGCTATTTGATTTTTTAGAAAAATTTTGATTGAGAAATTTCATAGCTGGAGTAAGATGTTTGACGTATTTTATCGGTATTGGAATCTATGTTTGATTGTTAAATGTGAGTTTCGTATGAGTGAAACACTTTTTCTACCAAAGTAAGAAAAGTTCCACTTTTTGCAGCACCACTGTTGCAAGTTTCAGGAAATTCTTATGGGTCGCAATCAATCTACAAAGGTGTCCCTTCATAGTGTATAGTATATTTAAACCGCCACGCATAAATAAATTAGGTTACGCTTTCAGCATCGTTTACTAAAATCTTCACAGCGCGCATAAATTAGTCCACAACGGGGCCAATTTGGCAATTTTCAAACCACAGAAAATGACAAAAAAATAATCAAAGGTTATCTTTCATATGTGAGTTCGATATATTTAATGAACATTCAAAAATTTTTGGTAAAAAATGTTATTTTAATCGCCGAAAATCGACCGCATAAAATTCACACCAAGCATAATAATTCCGTGTCCTTCAAAAATCAGAATAAATAATAATCAGATAGGTACATTACAAAATATGGCTAATATTTTGCGCGGTAATGTTGGTCGGTTGATTCTGCACTAATAGCACAGCAGCCGGATGAGCGTTTCAATTAAAATTTTAACCATGCTAGAAAATACAAACTGGTTTGAAGAGTTCTTATTTTGATCTTTGACCTTTCAGGTCTTCAGATGACCCTGAGGTGGGAAGCTGAGAGCTCGCGATGCATGGAAACCCACCAGATGTACAGACATCTGGATGCAGAGACTTCTTACAGGTTACCTATAAAATATAAAAAAGTTTCCGAGAATAAAAATAGCCTTTATAAAATATATTAAAGGTTTCAGAGAATAAAAAACGGGTAGCTCAGTTATTAAGAGCATTATTAAGAGCATAATTAAATATAGAGTGAGGTCGCATTCGTGCTATCATTGAAATTGAACTAATGTTCAACTTTGCTGAATGAAATTATGACAATAATATCAACTTCTGATCAAGTTAACTTTTTCAACAAAAATTTTTGATGTTAGAACAGAAAAATTACTGTGAAATGACAAGGCTTGACATTTTGACGTGTCGCCTTGTTTATTCTGACCAAATTGAAACTTTCCTTAGACAAAATGTTGAAAGCTGCAATTTTTACAGATGCAAAAGCAAGTGTCTTGTAATCGTGAACTGGGCTTCTTTTCCGTAACAACTTTTCATAAAACTTTACTTTCTTGCTTTATTATTGAAGCTTAACAAATTCCATGCTCCTTATACACGGCCCAGAGGTAATGATGTCACCTAGGCGCCCTAAGATTGGGATTCGATTCCTGGTCGGACCTTTTATTTTTAGTATGCAATTGAGACTTTTCAAATTGAATTTTGGACATTGTTTTTCTACCCAAGTTATCGGCTTAGTTACCTTATCACGGGTTTAGATTGTACTATAAGCAATTTTCATTGAAGTTGCAAGTGTAAATGTTGTTCAATGTAGTTTCAAGGGGGACTTGAAGATTTTTAATTACTGTTAACTTTTTTTTCGCCTCAACTACTGTCTAGACAAAGACTGTCTGTTTCGTTGCTACATCAAGGATTTTTCTTGTGCTGTAAGCAAGTTTCATTGTAGCTGCAAGGGCAAATGTTGTTCATTGTAGTTTCAAGAAAGGACTTAAAACTTTCTGAAGGTTTTATATAATTTTTTCGGTTTACCTTTTTTCTACTCAAAGATTGTCGGCTTTGTTCCCACTTCGTAAATTTTGTTCCGCTGTCGCACTTCAATATTTAAATGTTTGGCATATTTGCCTGAAATGAAATTTTATCGAGGCATACAAAAATTTAGTTTTTGGTAGACCTATTTTTTCTGCATTTTTAATTATTTTTTTTCGACTTCTCATTTTTTTTATATGTTTTCTTGTATCGCAAGTGATGCGAACTCTGCTTCGTCTCTGCTTGTAAAAACGCGATCATGGTATTTTGCGCCATTTATACAGCAACTAAATTTTCTCGTTGTGAATTGGAACTATTGATCTTGATATTTACGTGCAAACCAGACCATGCTATACCATTTCTTGTTTTTTTTTCCGGTTCGAGCTCCGCAATCTATTTTTAGAGTTTCGAAGACTCGCCGAAATTACTTCCGTAACCAAAAGTTCATATTCTTGGTACATAATCGTCAAGTTTTTTTTTTCAGAGCCCTAGGCAACATGGAAGTAGAAAAGCTAGATTTAGTTGCTCCTATGATACCTAGGATTCTGCAAAAAAAGATATTTTGACAATTAAATTTATACCAACTCTGAAATAGAGGTAGAATGTAGGGCTCTTTTTATTTTTCCCCGCCTCAAAGAACCATTATTTTAACGGTGTGGCTAAGGATAAACGCCGATTGGGGGCACGTTACGAGGCCAAACTGTGCACTATGGATAGGCGCATAATTGTGTGTCTGTATGGTCCTAGATTCCAGATTTAAATCTTTAAACAAGTTCCGAATGTAGTAAAAATACTTTAATCTATCTCAGACTGATGCTGATTGAGAAAGGCGTGACGATTAAACATGCGGCCGAGTTCGCGTGGAAGAGTCGTGAGTTGGAGGCGCAGACGACCGACTCGGTGCCCGCCATCCCGCAGTACATATTCAGTGACAGCAAGAAGCAGCAGAAACTACTGCAGCTGGAGAAAGAACTCGAGGACAGAATCGGATCATCCACAGAGTAGAATGCTCGGTATCTCTTTAACTGCCCCACCCCCCCCCCTTTGCAAAAGGGGGATATTCTTTACTAGATATAAAATTCCCATATGCTTAACAGTTGATTTATTTCTTTATAGAAGGATATTCGTTACTATGAAGGCGAGGGGGGATATAGTTGAAGAGATCCAATATTCGGGCCAAGTTCACGAGAACAGTAATAATAAAAATCCTAATGAATTGCTTGCAGGCAGAAAAAGTACAGAAGTTCACAATGACACTTTAGTAAATTTGAAACTGTGTGGGAGGTCACCATTTAGTCTACAAACAATGTTCAAGTGTCTTTCACGCGAAAAGCTGATGAATTTTTGCTATTCTTCCATAAATTTGTTTTTTCAAGAACGGAACAATGTGTTTTTAATTGACAAAAAACATCCAGAAAAATTAATCTTGGAAGAACACCAGAAAAGCATGTTATTTTTGCATAAAGAAAGCTTTCTTCGTGTAAATGTGCAGTTTCATACAATGGTTGGTAATGAGTTTCTGGCTTCAAATTAAATTCATTCATTATAAGATTAACATCCTATCTTTTCTTGCGTCGAGGGCAGAATAAGTTAACTTGGGCTTAAGTTGTAACTTTTATTCTATACGAAGCGAGTATTTTACATGCAAGTGTGAACTATTAAAATCCCAAATGAAAAAGTGGGTTGGAAGATCTTATTTTGGTATAATTAAGGAAAATGGGTTGTTTTTTTCTCCAGACATTTTTCACTTTTTAACTAGTATTTTTGACTAAATTTTTCATTTTCATTAGCAAAAAATTGTTGTCTTGTGCTCCAACTTGAAAAGATATTTATTTTACCTCTGATCAGGGGCGCATTTAAGAGGGGGCGGGGGGGGTTGGGGGCGGACGCTTTTTCTCTCAGGGATTCGACCACCTGCCGACCCAGAGGGTCTCCCTTTTGGTACTTTTTAAGACATCCATTTTTGGCCGACCGACCCTAAAATGTTTCTAAAGGCGCCTTTGGCGCCAATATATACTATTTTTTGAAGGGTAGCGCGCGCCAAAAAACGCAATTTTATTGTCAAAATTTTTCAAAAAGTGCCCAAAAACGTGCTTTAGGAGAGCTTTTTAGTGCTTTAGGAGAGCTCGGGAAATCAATTTGGTCAGCTAAAAAAAAGTCGTCACTATTTTCGAAATTTTTTTTTGAAAATCCGCCCCCCTCGAGAAAATCCTAGATCCGCTCCTAGATCATTCTCTGTAGATTTATAAGGGTTTAAAAATGACAGTTTGGTCAATTTGGGATAACTAACGCGCGATAAATTTTGTGTTATTATCCGAGAGTTCGTTCCAAAATGAATTTAAGCATGAGATTTGGTTGTTTTGCTATATGAGGAACCTATTTTTTAATTTGCTCTGCGCAAAATTTATCGTTTTGCGTTTTAGTTAGCGTGTGAGGGGATGATTAAAAAAATCTCATAAAACATTTGAAATTTTTTAATTATTTTTTAAAGCTCATCAGTTTTTTAAAGCTAACACTACTCCAAAGACATCAAAAGGCAGTCAAAACTTTCAGGAATTTGACTTGACACGAGCAGTCTTAATAATTTTTCTTCCGACTTTTGAAGAAAATGACGGAATATTTGTGCTCCTCGGGGTGGTTTTTTTTCTCCAACCACCGACCAGGAATTTTTAACCAGGAATTTTTAACGAGATTTTAAAAAATATTTATTCGAAAATTATTATTATCTTCAGCGCAAAATTTAAAAGATATGATCTTTTTTCATAAAGGTTCTAAGGGTTTGAAATTTACCATTTTGGCTAATTTGGAGTATTTAGCGCGCGATATAACATGGTTTTGTAACGCGTAAGCGGAGTTTTAATCTGTCTAAGAAAGTCTCCTAAATTAAAGTGAGACATGCTATTTGGTCTGTTCAATGTTTGATTATATGCAAAATATGTCTATTTGTACTTTACATAGCATGCGGGGTCATAAAATTTCAAAAAAACTCAAAGCAAAATTGAAAAAAGGTTTACTATTTTTTGTAAGTTAGACCGGTTTTCTCAAGCCAAACACCCTTGTATAAACGTTAAAAGGCAATCGGAACATTCAGGGCTGGGCCCCGAAACATGCAGTCTTGTTAAATCTGTTTTCTTGTTTCAGAAATCCGGCTCCCCTTCTCGAACCCTATATTCGATCACCTGATTCATTATCACGATCATAAAAACTTTCTAAAAGCGCGTTTGGTGCCAATTCATACTAATTTCGATGGAGAGCCGAAAAATGCAATTGGCCTCCTTTTTCTAGATTTGTCTGCGGCACAGAAATTTTTTTTCGTTCAATAACTTCCCTTCAATACTTGAGAGCCATTTGATCAAACCTAACTTTCAAAATGTTGTGCTTCAATTTACGCTTACTTGGTTTTGTACGTTGAATTTCATAAAACAAGTTCGCAACTCTGTTTTGATATTTTGGAAAGTAAATTCAAGCCTAAAAAGTAAGTAAGATTAGCAAAGTTGATCAAAATTCAGAGCAAAGCTTTAAATGTTTCGACTACGGTTTAAAAAGATGTAGAAAATTTGGTTAAAAAACTGATAAAATAAGGAAATAAATAAAAAAAAACTGTTTTCATTTTTTGTTAACTTTATCTCCGTCGATAAGTAGAAAGGGATAAAATTACTGTCTGATATTCTGATAATAATATCAACAAGACTGCTCGTATCAGGGCGAAGCCCTGGATGTTCCGACTGCCATTTAAGGTTTATGGAGCAGCAGTAATAACATAAAAAATGAAATGAAAAATAATAAAAAATGAAAATGTTTTTTTTTTCTAAAATTTAAAATTTTTTATGAAAATCATCACCCCACACGCCATATAAAGTACAAAAATATAGATTTTAGTCCTTGTAACAAATCAATTATGGCAAATAAGCTTCGTTCAACCAATTTGGGACGATTTATAAGACGGATTGAATATCCGCTTACGCGTTATTAGCGCGAATTTTATCGCGCGTTAATTGTCCCAAATTGGTCAAAATGCCAAAATGGCGGTCTTTAAACCCTCATAACTTTACGAAAAATGATCACAGGTGAAATTTCTTTTCAAATTTAAGCTCAGGACAACAATGGCTTTCGAATGATGTTAAAAAAATTCTGTCAAAAATGGCTAGTTAAAAAGTCGAAATTTGTCTGAAGAAAAAAAAACCCACCCCGAGCACAAATATTCCGTTACTTTCGTATCGAAAGTCGGAACAATAATTTGCTCCAATTTAATTACGGCTATTTTAATTTTTCAGCTTAGTTTAACCATATCTTTTAGATTGTACAATATCATTTTGCAAACTTATTTAGTTAAGAAGTAGAATATTGATTGAATAAAAACCACCCTTAGCAAAGAATTTCGCCACATTCGTCAAGAATTGCAACAATCGTTTCCCAGAATGCTGATGCAAACTAACTGGAAAAAAAATGAATCCTAAAAGTTAAAGTTTCTCAAACTAGGTCAGTTTTAGACAGAAAAAACTGTAAAAACCCTTTTACTCCAGAATTGAATCATTTTAAATCAAAATGAAAGTATACCAAAACTAAAGGTTCAATCTCCGACAAAATTATCTCAAATTGAGCTTCTAATCTAACTCAGCCGCGTTTAAAAAGAAGGCTATCTAAAGTAATTTTGTTTGATGACCAGAAAATGTCCTTTTTTACCTGAATGTTTCGACCGCCTTTTAATGGGTCTATGGGGCAGTAAAAACCTGAAAACAATAAAGCTTATAAAATAAAATGAAAAAATATATATATTTGAAAATTGAGTTTTTTTGTGGAAATGATTACCCCACACGCCATATAAAGTACAAAGTGATAGACTTCTCTCTTAGTAACAAAAATTATGGCAAATAAGTTTTCTTCAACCAATTTGGAATAATTTCTAAGACGGATCAAATCTCCGCTCATGCAATAATAGCGCGAAAGATATCGCGCGTTAATTGTCCCAAATTGGTCAAAATGGCAATCTTTAAAACCCGTTTTTTTTTCATAATCAGTCAATTATCTATTTGGTTCAATTTTTCAACATTTTGTTTCGTTTAGGTCCACGTTTTACATTACTAGCAGAGTCTGCACATAGCTAGCCAATTTCTCTTCATTGCAGAACATCCGTAATTATTTCTCTAGGGTAAGAAATCATGGTCTGAGCCAAGACTCCTCCACTTGGTCCTTGTGCCTCGGAAGCACACACTGGTAGCACGGAGCACGGCAAAAGACAGCCGGCACTTCACCCAGTTCATCGTTTTACTATAGGGTTTCTCCCACTTGGTAGATAATGCTTCTCCTATTCTCCGAAGGAAACTTGCAAATTCTGGAGCAAGCATCCCATCAACAGACACGACAAGAGGAGTGAAAGACATATGTTTTTCCTGACACGCGTCTGAATATTTTGTCTTTTTCTCAGTCTCTGCTGAGTGAAAAACACTCATGGGACTTCTGTTTTGACAGGAGATGGCGTTGGTGTCAAAGACCACCTTTTTTGCACGCTAACGCATACCGTAGGGTGAATAGTGATTAGCAACCATCACAAAAAGTTGGCCAAGCGATCAAGTTTTTGTTATACCGGACACACAAAGCATTCCGAAACTCCACTTCCGAAAGATCAAAGTTTTCTGCAGCAATCGGTTACGCTGTCAGCCAGGCAGACAAGCTTCCTTCATTGATTCTTTTTACTGCGCGAACTTGGTCTGCTGGTAGCTCATTCAATAACTCCCCGATCAACTCTTCATGTTTTTCTTCCATTATTCGATGATGTTTTTTCCGCGATCGAGACATTTGCTTCCTGTGGTCATCATGGGAAAAACCGTGCTGATCAACAATAGCATCATAAAGAACGGTAACTGCTTCCCGTGACGTGTTGTAAGACTCATCAGCGAAGATGGTTGGGTTAGACACTCCAAGACCACCCTTTCTTGCTGGCAAACAAAAGAGGCGTCTCTCCATTGATGAAATCGACGAAGTTCCAAGTATCGCAGGTAAGAATTTCTCCATCAGAAGGTTCTCTAGTGGTTGAAAAAGCTGACTAGAACCACCCAAAACCCAATGGGAAAAACTCCCATTCCGCTTGTAGGGACTTAGGCAGTCCTGATAAAGCACATTGTGGTTCTGTTTTTGCCACAAAAAAAAGTTTCTCAATTTTGTCTACCCATTCAAGTTCTTTCTTTTTCAGGTAGATGTCCTTCTCATTTCCGTCTTCAATGAAACCGCCCAAAAACCTCTTCCCTTCCACTATAGTAATCGAGTACTTGTCAAATATGTGATGAGCTTCTTCAGCATATTGTTTATCGACAACCAGAAAACTTTTGGAAGGCTCTGGAAAGTAACCGACGGCAGGACCTTTCTCAATCAAAATTTTGAGCCATATTTCCAATTTCTTGATTTTTGCTATGGCCGCAGAATCATCAGCATACTAACTTTGTAACACAATGTTCGGATCCTTTAACTTCCGAATCAGGGGAAGAAGTGAAACACCATAGAAGAACATTGCCAGTGGGTCTCCCTGTGTGGTTCCTTCCCTACTGTATATCACTTCAT